CTGAAATTCTCCATTCTCTATCCGACTTTATTTTCATCCTTCCTGTCCTTCTGCCACTGCTTCATTCAAATGGGTAACTAAGACCAATCAAAAAAGGCGCACAAAAGTGCATGTGGTTAATGGTTGTTCACGCTGAAACTGAAACTGGGTGCTTGAGCCTGTCGCACACCGTATTCAATGCGAGGCAACACTTTGAGGCACTTCCAGAACTCACAAGCACCACATGATGCTACTCGCGCAAATTGGGCGGTACGAAGGGCACTACAGTCGGCACACAAACTATTTCTATTTATTTATTTTCACATACGTCTGAGGCCAAACTGTGTGCCAAACAAATCACGATACAACAATCATGATAAAAAAGAAAAAATTCATGATTTGCTCAAGGATACGACACTGCTCGGATGCCCAGGCCAAAACAGGGAAACTTTCTTAGGAAGCACACAACCGGAGACTTCACCTAGCCAAAGCCTGGTCTGAGAGGCTACGGGATGGTGTTTAAAAACTGCAATCCATTGGGAGGCCGGTGTCCAGTTAAGCGGACCATACGCCCTTCGGACGGGGTCAAATGCCCAAAGTGCCCAATACACCTCGATACTCAATAGAGACGGTGACCACTGTCACAACCAGGAAGTTGTGTGTGGTTCGTACACCTATTGGTTGGTTTGGAATCAGGGTTTTTAACCAATCTCCCTAGGTGAACTTCCAATAGTTCATCAACCCGGTTATAGCCCCGGATGTTGGGTTTTCATCCTCTCACTTCGGTCGGTGAACACCTACGTCACGGGAAGGCAGTGAGTAGGGCTTCCACAACAGTCTGTTTGAAAAGCTTGATCATATAGGGGCATTTCGTGAGGTTTAAGGGAAGGGTGGTTAGTCACCACCCAAGACACTCACCTCGACCATACTGAGGCATTTGAGAAGACCTCCCAAACTTCCAAGAAGACCTGGACTGGTAGGGTGCTTTCGATCAAGGTCAGCGGGCTGTATATTCCCATCGAAGCTGTTGAGCCAACATCTGAATGACCACCTCTGTGGACGAGACCTCAGTAAGCATAACTCAGTAATTCTGGCTTGCTATGACAGGAACTAGGAGGCACAATGGTGACATGACCAGAAATTCAAAACCCGGGTGTATTGGTGGATGGATGTGCACTACTGATTGAATCCAACAAGTAGGAAGCTCCAGTATTGTGCTTTTAGATGTATGATTGACAAGATGAACTGAGGAATGTGTATCAAGATGAAGCTGGTCAGTCAACGCATGCCACCATTGGCAAGCAACTGTAAGTTCAAAGGAAAGAGGTATGCATATTAGCCAATGGGCCCTGTAGCTTTGCTCAAGTTGAGATGAGACACGGTAAAACGACGTGCATCACAGAGTGTTTCAGTTTAATAAAATCATCACCAGGACTTAACAAAGATGGTTTCCGCCAATTAGAGATCTTAAGATATGTATTTTTTGTTTGTATTAGTTATGAGAAAAACTGAACACAAAACGTTCTGCAACTGCTTAGCTGGAATCAATGGGATGGAGAGTTAAGGATGGAGAATGATAGCGTTTTCTTTTATCAATTCTTAGTATGACTGACTGTTAAAAGAATTTTGCACATTATAATTTCCCACTCGTCTGAGTCCAGGCTATACGGAACAATCACGGTACAATAATCGTTGTAACGAAGAACAGTTCCAAGCAGACTACTGACAGGTTACACAGGTCAAAGTGGGTGAATTTTCTTGGGATCAGGGGCTCTTTTAGCCAACTCCCCTATGTGAACTGCCAATCGTAGTTCACCAACCCGCTTATGGTCTCGGGTGTCGGCCTTTTGTCCACACGTACTTTTTCCGCTGAAAGCAATGGACGGAGCTTCGTCAACGAGGACTGAGGCTAGTTGAGCAATTTGTGTTGAGTATATGAAGTGGGACTGAGTGTTTACAGGTGTTACTCATACTGTTTCGGCTGTGACCCCTACCACTAAAAAGAATCAGCTGTTTTGACTTGATCAACCTGGCTCAAAAGCAACTCACGAATCAATAAAGAATGTTCCGCCGTGATTCGTTTGGTAAACGGTTTGGGAACATACACACGATTAAATACGATAGGAGAATAATTCGCTATTTTATAAATGGTGATGTACAAGATGGAAATGATCTTTTTTATTACACACCAAAGTGTGATAAACAGCAGTCTGGGCGGACCCCATAGTCACGAAGACCCGCTGTTCAGTGATGGTAACGGGCAACCTAAGTCCACGGGCTTGGAGCGGCCAACCGCACAAGGCCCGGCTAGCTTGGATGTGAGTGTGAACGTTATTAGGATCGAACTGATGCCACAGTGTGTACACATCCTTGCAACCCTAGTGTTCTCTTCATGTTCGAACTAATGGGATTTTTGACTGAATTCACAACACGATACAAAATAATTCGATTTATTTTATACTACCCATCGTTCCGACTTACTCTTCACATAAAACCTCCAGTTTGTCCTGCCCAACACCAATACTCACAAGTAATTGATTTAAACGTGAATTTATTATCCCCAAACCATGGAACTGAGTTAGTTAGTGTTTTTACCCATTGAACATAGCACGGAATACGTTGACTTGCAGAAAACACGGCAGAACAACACAATTCACAGGACTTGTAACTAGAGGATAAAATTTTCCAGTCCAATCATCCACGTGTCAATCATTATGAAAAGACTGAAAATCGACAATGGCCTCGAGTTTGTTGAGGCTAGACGCACCTAACCCACACCATTTTATACTGAACCACTGTAATCATCCTTCGAGGCTTGTGTGTCTCGAATCAAATCCCCGAGGTAAAAATGATATTTGCGTTGCCTACTTATACCCATTTTTAATTAAGTTGATCTGGGATTTTTTATGCTGTCGATGTGGCTAAAACATAGAAAAAGTTGTATTCCACCGAAACTCGACCTACAAACTTTAGACTAGAAAGCCTCCTGATGGAAGGCACGCTTGCACTCAAAGTGCGGACGGACGACGGTCTTGTACAAAGGTAAAAATTAACTCGGGTCTTATACATCTTATCGTGGCACAAGATTGTAGGAGCTCGTGGGGGACTTTATTGGCAGCTCGCTGGCTTAAAATCCTTCGTGAGGATAGCTTTCAATTCCTTTACTTCAAAGATGTGATGTACCTGCACCAATTCGCTCATACCGCTTATGGCTCTTGCGATCAACAGCTGATACTTTTCGAGATTGGGTAGTAGGC